TTCGTATTGATCCGACGTTGCAACCAATCAGGGTGAGCAACCCGGGGTACTGGGTTTGGAAGCTTCTGAAGCGCAGCTGGAATGGTAATCAACTTCTGGATCACGGATCCCAAACGCTCTAGGTAATAATCCCAATCGATCACGGTTCGGGGATCCATATCCCCAGGATCTTCCTTTAGCCATTTGCGCAAGAAGAATCGCTTGATGTTCTCTTCGGCTGAAAAGATAGCCACAGGAATAGCTCTTTCAGTGACAGGTGTGTTCCGTGGGCGTGATGAGATGATGTATTTACAGTTGAGGCCTTTGTCCTTGATCATCTGTTCACCCAAGAATTCTGCCAGGCGTTTTGCCGTTGTGATGGATGTGGACTTTTGGGAGCCATACTCTTCCAGTGTTTTGGACATGCTTCGATTTTCCGAAATGAGATCGACCAGCTCTTCATCGGCCAATGTCGTTCCGTGTTCGTATAGAACGTCCAACCACCGGTCCGCAACACGGGCCACAGCGGCGTAGGTCTCGGCAAGATTAGAGCCCTCGAGGAAGAATTTGAACAGCTGCGTCTGGAAGATCTTGATCAACTTCAGCTCTCCTCTTCGCTTGACTTCGAATCCCTTGAGTTCAGCTAGGGAGCCATCGTGATTGAAGACTGCATATCGTTTCTTCAAGTTCTTGTCTTCCTCCTTCGATGTTGGCAAAATCATTGCCCTGTATGGTCCATCCACTTCGAAGAAGATGGAATTTTCACTGTGGGTCTCGTACTTGAAGGTTTTCGGATCAACAAGCGCCTGGTACTGGTGGTTGGTGTATCTTGCATGGACGAGGTGATTAAGCATGACACAAGGGTATGAGATACCCAACTTCTTCCCGTTCTTGAGGGTGAAGGAGAAGTTATCGGGGAATCCTCCTGGAAGCATACACCAGATACCGTCGGTATCCAATTCCAGGGGACGACCGATGCGTTCGACAAGCTCTCTCGCCATCTGAATAATGTGAGCGCCTGTCAGACAGGTGACACCGGCCATTTCCATGGAATACCACCGTGAGCCCTTTCGCATCACGTATCCGTAGAAACTGTTGAGAATGACCTTGTGTGCAAGCTGAAGAGAATCGTACAGAATAATCATCTTCTTCGCCTCCTCTATTTCAGTGGCTGAACCACCAGACGACTGCAAAGCGTCGGCTTTGTTTTTCCAGGATTTTTGCTTGCCCTTGAAATCGTATCGTCGGTCACGGAAGTCTCTGACAGTATCGACGTAGAAGGGATTTTCTCGTTGGCAAATGATAGCCTCCCGCTCCATCGTCTTGCTGTCGTGAATCTTGTGATAAATCTTCTTGCTGTAATCCTGTAGTCGTTTCTTGACCACTCCAGCTTGCTCTTCAATGCTTAATTCACCGAAGGACCTCATTGGGGACTTTGGGTACCTGCCTGGGAAACGTTCATTTGCTGTGGCACGTCGGATCATGTTGTATTCATCACGTTTGGCGGGCAAGAATTCACCTCGCCATGCCCAAGGCATGCGTCTATCACAGGTTTTTCCAGGTCTGTTGAAGTCGCAGGCGGCACAATTCGACTCGTCAATCAGCGAGTCCGGCTGCAATCGGTTGGTAATCATGATGTTGGGATACATGGAGGCGACGTCCAAATGGTAAATGTAAGGCACCTCGTTCCGGACTGGGTTGTTCTTGAGATCGAGCAAACGCTCCACGATTTGTGCCCTGACCTCGTCATAGTTCACGACATCATCCACGGATTTCTTCTCTTCAACCTCAATACTGAACTTGAGGGCATGGTCGAGATCCTTGAGAAGCTCATCAATCGCAGTAGTGTCAACGCTGAAATGTGTAGGGATATCACTTCGGAAGACACCAGCTTCAATACTTTCAACGTGGCCACCGACGTAGGTCTCTGACTCAAGGAGATGGCCTTCATAAAAGGCTTCTGGGGGATTCTTGTGTTTGTTGGGCAAGACAATCTCATGCTGGTAAGCTTGAACCATGAGTAGCATCTCACACAAAGTTCCAGTTCCCTTCCGTAACGTCTCGTCGGCATTAAGGGGAATGATTGTGCAGAGTGAGAAGATGAACGGGTGGACATATTTCATGTACAGGTAATATGTTGCAACGGCATCGGAAACCGAGTATTCAGCTAAGGTCTGTGGCCTCTCGCTCGCGTATGGTGTCATAAGCTCTGGGTCGAGTTCATCTGGGTCGTAACCAAGCTTTGCAACAGTCACGGCCTTCAAACCACGACTTCCTTGAGGGAGGTAACTGTCACGACTGACCCAGGAGAAACAATCCATATGCACACAGTTGTCGGCTTGATAGATGTCCTCGCTGTTTTTCCGGAAGCCGATTTCCATATACATGTCAAGTCCCAGGATACTAGCTCTTGTCTCCACAAATGGCCAATCGAAGAAGTCACCGTTGTATGTCGCAATAACGGTAGGCTTCGAAATTTTGACGTGCTCGAAAAATCTCTCAAGGACTGCTCTTTCATTGGGTTCGTTGAAGATAATGAAAGGTCCGTTGTACTCCGGTTTGGGGGTGTACTCGAAATCGTGAATGTCCTCAGACACGATCTCTCTATTGGTAATTAGGAATCCTTGCCCATCAATCATGTATGAAATCATCATAATCTGATCCGTCGTGGCGTCCGGAAATTTCAGCGGTAACTTCGTACACTCAATATCAAAAGCGAGAACGACAGGATCGGCACGCTGAAGCCGATCTTCCAAGCAAGTCAGCGATACTACGCCATGGTCTGCCTGAACATTGTACCATTTTCCAATCCGAATGTCTGCGATGCATCAGCTATAAGGCCTCACGGGAGACACAGAAAATACTGACCTTTATCAATGCAGACTCGGACATGGTATGGCACGTCATATTCTCGAATATCAACAATAAAATCACTCGCTTGTAGGTTGCCATTAGGTCGTTGCTCATTAATTATTTCGTCGTCAAAAAGGTCGATACCAGCCGTCGCACTGAACCTTGAATTAGCCCAATATTCAGATCAAATCATGTAATGCAGAACATACCTGGTCATCTCAACGTATGCGTCCATCGCACTCTCATTTTTCTTGTTTTTCTCTGCGAGAGGAAGGAGAGTCTTCCTAACCTCTAAAAGATTGCTCACGTTGGCAAAGCTGAGCTTGATGTAGGTCTTCCGGTAGCCGAGGAGGTGATTTGGAAGATTGAGATCTTCTTTCTCAAGTCGCTTGAATTTTTTGATCATGCCCTCAAAGGTTCGGCGACACCACTCCTCTACCTCCATCTCATAGCCCTTTTTGACTGAGATCAAGAAATAAGGATCGTATTCCAAGGTAGCTTTGAAACTTCCTCCGTCGTCCTGCAGGAAGTAATAATCCACGCCAGCACGACCTCCAGGCACGTCCGGGTCTTCAATCAATGTGCTGTGCATGTTCACGAGCCAGCCAGCCCTTGTCTCGCCAGACTCGAACCGTGGGAAGCCGAGGGTTTCATCGATGCTGTTGGCCAACCGAATGGCCTCGAATTTCTCATCTTGGGAGGTTGCCTCGGTCGAGCGTAAGGAATTGAATTGGACCGTTTTGGAGCGTCGAGGATTTGAGGATGCAGCACTAGATCGGAACTTGTTTCCATACTTGCTAGGCTTTCGTGAAGGCATTGCGACGCTTCGCCCGGTTGGGCTTGTTAAAGTACCTCTCAAAGGGCAGGACCAGTACAGAACATGAAATGCGCACTTGGTGAATTTCAGATCAAACAAAAAAAAAGGAAGAAAGTTGAATAGGCACAAATAAAATGAAATCTGGTTTGGGGACTAATTGTGCCTCCAGGAGGGTCCAGCAATGGCCTACAATCTGCTATAATCAAATCGATTTCGATAGTCCCGACGCGTTCGCGTACCGCCCATGCGCGTCGAAAGCGTTAGTCAGCTTTCGGAATAACCATCCGTTTTGGGAATGTTGGACTATCTGTTTCTCCGATATTGGTGATCTTGTTGAATAGTGATGAAGACAGCACGTGGAAGTCTAGAAGCAATTTACTCTACATAACAATGTCGGAAGACTCACAAGACCCCAGCTCTGTTTCACAGGCTGGCAACAACACACAAATCTCCAATGACCTGGCCGATTCGCAGAAACCGAAACACAATCCGTCTCAGTCACAAACTGGAAAGTTATGGGATGCCTTCGGAAACCCCGAAGAACCTGCAAACGCGCTCGCCCAAGCAACCTATAAGCCCCGAGGCAAGAACCCCAAGGATGTATCATACTCCGAGATTATTGGAACATTTCCAGTCTCTGAAATGACCACCCTCCACAAAAGACCGTGTGCTCGGGAATCCTTGTTGACTGGAATTGGTGTCGGATTTGGAGTTGGTGGCCTACGAGGTGTGCTTAAAGGTATAGCTGCGCTCCTTCGACATTGGAACACTGGAATGATGGTCTAATATGTGCATGCAGGACGGTACTACCTATGGTCTGCAGGAAACTGGGCTGTTGGCATGTTTGCGATCACTTCATTAGCCTCGTATGAATACTGCCGCTGGCGACGAAATAACGAATTGAGTGGCATGGCAGAAGCGCTCGATCTTATGAATCAATTGAAGGCCAAAAAGCAACGTGAGAAGGATACGGCAGAGGAGGAAGCGGCATTGCGCGCGCGTCTTGCTGAGCAGGAAAGAAAGAGCAAGAGTTGGACTAATCCCTCCAACTACAAATTCTGGTAGTGCCGTTCATGAAAAGGAGTCGTGGAGTTCATGAGGTGTTCCGAAAACTGTATATGTATTCCGATCAATGGATCAAATGATGATCGACGTCATGTCATAAGTCATCTCTGTGTATCATAGCTCTCTGCAAAGTTCATATTGTCCGCCCAATGATCATTGGACCATCCCATTTGTCCGAGAGCAAAACAAAGAAAAAACCGCTCATATGCCTTCCCTTCAGAAAAAAAACGCCGAAAGCAAAGATATCCAAAATGTGGCCGCATGTTGCGCAGCCATGCCTGCCTCGCTAGAAATTGAATTTGACGCGCTTCTGAACGGCGCCTTCGTTCATGCCGCGCAATTTGTCTACCTCAACGCCATCCCTCCTCCTTTCGCGTCGTCTTTCACGAGCCTCCCGGGCTTCGCGATTCTTCCATTCTGCCACTTGCTTTTGACGCTTCTGTGATCTTTCCCACGCAATTGAGGCAGTGGGCTTGAAGCCTATACCGTTGATTCCATATCCATCATCCGTTGGATCAGATGGGTTGTGGCCTGTTATTTCCGAATCATGCCATACAAGCGGGTCTTCTTCAGACGGAGTGTCTGTAAGAGGAGGTGATAGTCGCTGCTTCCGTTTAGATGGCGATGACGGATTCAACTGCTTGCGAGAGAAAGCTGCAGACTTCTTCTTTGAGGGGGAAACGGGCGAGGAAGTCGGATCCTGCGTTGTGGGCGGCGGCTCGAATCGCAGGACTTGGCGGTCACTGGGCTCGCTACTAGTGGCCGGTAGGGCTTCAGGCATATTATTGAGCTTGTCGCTATCAGGCTCGCATGTTTTCTGCGTCGGTAGAGCCAAAGATTCTCGTCGTGAGTTTTCAGAAAAGCTTCCAGGGTCCGAAAGAAGGTCGCCACGGATAGCTAACTCTCCGAATCGTCCAGCCACTGAAGCGCGAGGACTGTAGCTTTCCAGCTCGTCCTCGTCCTGAAGTGGAACCTCTTGAAAACTATCGATAGAGGCTATCGATATGGGTGACGCCGAGGGGCTATAGAAGTCTGACTCTGAAGGCTCTCGCTTGCGCTTGGGAGAGAAAGATGAAGATAAGCCCATCGGCATCATACTGAAAACGGACGTAGTGGGGACGTCACCGAGCAACCCGATGGATCTCATTTGTAAATAAATAGGGTATCCACCACCAAGTTGTTCTCAGGAAACGAAGTTATTCATTCTGGAGAGCTCGCGAAACGCGGAGGTCAGGGCTGAGAGGGGTTTTGGTTTTGGAACATTCGGCATTGAATCTGACGTGGGGTACAACCTTGGAATGATCGCCACTAAAATAAGCCATGCATCAAGGGATTTATTTTTGGTCTTTCTATTCTATAGAAAATTCCATTTCACAAATCGTCTTTTTCCGCCTTTTTTTTTGCCGGCTATAAAAACTGACAAGATATCCAAACAGAATGATATCTGAGAAGACCACCGAGAAGACCACTGAAAAGACGTCAGGGTTATACAGCCAACTATTCTTGAATCTGGCAACTCCTTACTTTGTACTCTGTGCGATGAACAACTTAAAACACTTAATTGAAAAATATCAGAGCAGCGATAGTCAGAGCTGCTGAGGCAAAAGGCCTGGTAATAATTTACAAATACCTGCAAGCCGTACCAATCGAGTCATGAAGACAAAAGCAAAACCTAACGCCATGACAAAGACTCCCAAGTCCAAACAAATTGCACATCTAGGCCTTTTGCTTCTTCTTGGAGGGCTCGGCATCCGTGTCGTGCTTGCGCTTCTTCTTCTTGTCGGACTCGCCCTCACCACCCACAGACTTTCTCTTCTCTTTCTTCTCCTTCTTTTCCTTCTTCTCCTTCTTTTCTTTCTTCTCCTTCTTCTCTACCTTAGCCTCAGCGACTTCGGCATCCTCCATCTCCGCATCACTCTGGTCGGCATCAACATCAAGGTCAGCCAGAACAGCATCCATAGCGTTTTTCTGTAAACTATTAGCATTTGTTTGTCGATTTAAATAGGGACAAATAGAGCTCAACATACCATAGCGACCTCGTTCTTAGTAGGGGCAGCGCCGGAGGCGTAGAATTCCAAGCGCTCCTCAACCTGGCTCTTCAGGACCTCACCGAACTTGGTGTTAGGGGCCTCGGAGAAGTTGTCAATGCGGGAAGCAATGGAACACTTGTTGGCAAGGAAACGGGAGATTCTGCCCTTGTTCTTGGGGCCAGCGCGGCCGATGAAGGAAGAGTGGTACAGCAAACCGTACTTGGGGGTATTTCCCTTGGTCTTCAAGGCACGGAAAAGAGCCTTCTCAGCACCAAGAATCTGAACGGTAGAGGCGGGGTACTTGGAGAGGTTGGTCAAGCTACCGGCGTGGGAGATCAGACGGGCGCCGACAACTTCACCGATCAGGGCGGCAAGGTTAGGTGCAACGACGCTCATCTTGGCAACAAGGTAAGCGTAGAGAGACTTGCGGTACTTGGCGAGCTTGACAACGCGCTCGGCGAAAGCGACAACATTCTCCATGTCGGACTCGGAGATCTCTTGACCCATACTAGTCTTAGCAGCATCGATAATGCTCTGGGCAACAGCCTCATCATCTTCAACAAGGGCGGCAATGTCGTGCAGGCTTTCGCTGGTCAGGGCATTCTTATCCTTAATGAAAAGGGCGAGCTCGGCGTAGCGCTGGTTGTCGGAGACAATCTTGACGAGCTCGGGGAAGTGCCACGAGTACCATTCACGGACTCGCATGGCGAAGGTGTTGATGGCCTTGTCGAGCTGATCCAGAATGGCGATAGCCTGGATGATGTGGTTGTCGTCACGCTGGACGGAGAACTTTACCTTAGCGCGGGAGTAAGCGTGACCGAGACCGAGTTGGGCAGTATCCATGTCACCATCGCGAAGCTGCTTGAGAAGCTTGCTAGCGTGGAGACGGATACCACGGAGAAGGTCCTGAACGACCTCGCTGGTATCACCAGTCTCACAGTCCACGAATGAGAAAGCGGACTTGATGCTTCCTGCCAGAGCCTTGTCGGCAAGACCCAGGATCACCTTCTTCTTCTTGTTCGGCTTGGGGAGGTTCAATTCAAGGAAAGAAACGAGAGTCTCGGATGCGACACCTTCGGAGATGTCATTGATTTCTCCAAGGGCCTGCTTGTTGTTCCTAAAAATTGTTAGTGGACCATGAAAAACCTTTTCATATAGGCAGATAAAGCGTACTCGAAGGGCAAGAAGCTAGAAAGCTCGACCATCTTTCCGAACTTGGCAAGGTCATTGACACCCTCCTGGACTTCCTTCAAGGCATTGCCGACAGAGTCGCCCTGGTGGGCAACCTTGAAAAGCGAGTAACCCATAGGGCCCTCGAAAAGTAGGAAATCGGCCATCGTGTTAGGACCAATATAAGGTCAATCGCAAGGTAATGATAAAAACTTGCAACACCGGCCAGAAAACCTCGAAAAGTTCAATTCGATGGATTGCTGGTGAGGTTGGCGACGGCTGGAAATGGACAATTTTTTTTTCTCGCCGCTAGTGCGAATCCTAAGGCACCGAACCGGAGGTATGACGGTAGGTATCGGAGCATATGTTTATCCGCTCCATTGATATAGTCACGTGAACATAGAGCATGCTCGAATGTGGGCTTTTTGGCCGCGGACCTATCGTGGAACAAGCGCTCTACCATCCCTTTAATTTAATATTTTTGAGTTATTGGACGTGATACCCTGTCATTCATTACCTGGGATATGTCTGCAACTCAACTACTTAACCCGAAGGCGGAGTCGAGGGTATGGAAAATATTCCCAGATGGCCCCTCAATGATATGCCCGCACACTAACATTTCACCCAGCGGAGAGGAGAGGCCTTGAAGGTGAACATCGGTGCCGGTGAAGGTCTTCAGGATGTTCTCAAGTCCAATTTGGGTCCTTCGGGAACCCTCAAGATGTGAGTTTTCTACGAATACACCCCACATCCAAAGGCATTGGAGCTGACAAAACTTAGGCTGGTTGATGGTGCAGGCGCAGTATGCAACCCCCGACTCCTCTCGAACGGCACGAAACATTCCTTTTCTGATACAAGCTTGCTATGATAGATCAAATTGACCAAGGATGGAAACGTTTTGTTGCGGGAGATGGTTCGTTCTGCCCCCAGAATCTCAGGATCCGAGCTTGGAAGCTAATATTTATCAGCAAATTCAAAACCCTACGGCGGTAAGATGGCATTGCCTCGAGAGCGTCCTACGTGTTACTGACGAAATGGAAAGGTTATGATTGCTCGCGCTGCGACGGCACAAGATGACATTACCGGTGATGGAACAACATCTGTCGTTTTGCTGGTAGGAGAGCTTTTGAAGCAGGCGGAGCGTCACATCTCGGAGGGTTTGCACCCCCGTGTCATCACTGATGGCTACGAAATTGCCAAGACTGAGGCTTTGAAAGTATGTCATAAACATTGAAAGTCGAATCTCGATATGGAGCTAACACATTACCTACAGTTCCTTGAAAACTTCAAGCTCGAGCGTCCCATTGACCGAGAGCTGTTGCTTTCCGTCGCCCGTACCTCCCTCTCCACCAAGCTTAACGGTGCTCTCGCTGAGAAGCTTACCCCCGACATCGTCGATGCCGTCCTCGCCATCCACAAAGCCCCGGAGAAGCCCGATTTGCACATGGTTGAGATTATGACGATGCAGCACCGGTCTTCATCCGATACCCAGCTTATTCGTGGTCTTGCCTTGGACCACGGTGCTAGACACCCCGATATGCCCAAGCGAGTTGAGAACGCTTTCATTCTGACACTGAACGTCAGTCTGGAGTACGAGAAGTCGGAAATTAACTCCGGATTCTACTACTCCAACGCCGAGCAGAGAGATAAGCTGGTTGAGAGCGAGCGCAAATTTGTGGATGCTAAGCTGCAGAAGATTGTGGACCTCAAGAAGGAGGTTTGTGGAAACGACCCCAACAAGGGATTCGTTATCATCAACCAGAAGGGTATCGACCCTCTCAGCTTGGATGTTCTTGTCAAGAACGGTATTTTCGCCCTGCGAAGAGCTAAGCGCAGAAACATGGAACGTCTCCAGCTTGTCTGTGGTGGAACTGCTCAGAACAGTGTTGAGGATTTGTCTCCGGAGGTTCTTGGTTGGGCTGGTCTGGTCTACGAGCACCAGCTCGGTGAGGAGAAGTTCACTTTCGTTGAAGAGGTCAAGGACCCTAAGTCTGTGACTATTCTCATTAAGGGTCCTAATGGGCACACCATTACCCAGGTTAAGGATGCCGTTCGTGATGGTTTGCGCTCTGTTTACAACACCATTGTCGATGGCTGTGTCATTCCCGGAGCTGGTGCATTCCAAGTTGCATGTGCTGCACACCTGCAGTCCCAGGCCTTCACCAAGACCGTCAAGGGTAAGGCCAAGTGGGGCGTTGGTGCGTTCGCCGATGCCCTTCTAATCATCCCTAAAACTCTTGCTGCCAACTCCGGCCACGATATCCAGGATTCTCTGGCTGCTCTTCACGATGAGGCAACAGATGGCAACGTTGTTGGTTTGAGTCTGGTCACTGGCGAGCCCATGGATCCCGTTCAAGAGGGTGTCTTCGATTCCTTCCGTGTTCTGCGCAACTGCATCGCTTCCAGCACAGGCATCGCATCTAACCTCCTTCTGTGCGATGAGCTACTGAAGGCTCGGCAGATGAGCAAATCCGGTGCTGGTGGTCCCGGTGGTGAAGAGTAATGTACTTTCTCGTTTACGAAATCAGGCGGTTCATGTAAAGTTTTAAAAGGGTTAAAGACTTGATTCTTCACAAAGTTGGGGGCCAAGCGCCAATCTATTCAAAAATACACAAACTTCACGTTGCTTCTCATTGTCGTCGTTAGATGAAAATACTGTAATAAGCGCTATCGTACATAAACTTGAAAGCCATCTCATTAGAAGAATCAGTCTTCTTCTGAGGCAATGCTTTGGTCATCCCCATCGGACACAGTCTCCCGCGGCCAAAGTCCCTCGAAGCCTTCTTCCCAGACTGGATCGTCCAGTGAGAGATGGTGTGTTTGAGCCCACTCCCATACATCAGATTTGCAAATGGTGACCATCTGACCTGGTGGGGTGGTATTATCCTCCACAGCCGTGCGGGTGGATTTACGTTTTTTCGGAGTAGCCTGAGGCTCAAATAGCCCCATGCTCTTGAGTGCAGTGATCACGTCCTCGGTCAGCATACCAGTTCCCAGGCCGAGTTCTTCAACAGTAAAGGTCTCGCGCAATGGTCTCTTGCGGGAGCCTTTAGGAGTTGAGCTAGGCTTCTGCTGGTCGGTTTCAAGGGAGCTGGCACTAGGTTTGCCGCGGAGTAAGAATCGAGCAATCCGCTCGGCCCAAAAACGAACGTAGCTTTTGTGGCCTAGCTCGCTGAGTGGCTTCTCTGGTCCACCGATGCACCCGCCATTAGAGTCCCATCCGCTGAGCTTGTAGCTGACCCCCATCAACAACTTCCCAAGCTGCTTGTGTTGGTAAGGCGGAAAGATCAAGATACAAGCAAGATTGTTCGCGTCCCATGAGAGTTTCTCTTTTGAAAAGAAACCGAGCACGTAGTAACTGTCGGGGTCGTCCGGGTCGGTAAAAGTAAGAATGTAGTACAGGAAGGTTGCGACATCGAAAAATACGGTCTTGTGGTCGAGGAAGAGTTTGGCGAAAAGGGATAAATTCTGTCCGAAAAGTTTGTGGTTTTGCCCATCAACCTCCCACACTGCATACCCGCCATGGTCGTAGACTTTCGTGCCAGGTGGGGTTATGCGATGCTCGCAGGCGCGTTTGTGTTGCTCAAACGTATCCACGTCACATGTGTATCGAAAGCACCAGCGACAGACGTAGAGTCGATCGGCGTCTTTGGCGACGAGATCTTCGGGGTAGATGGATTGGTTCCATGGTTTGAATAAGAGGTCGCCCAGTACGACGTTGTTCACGTTGCGATCGGCTGGAGTCTGCAATGGCGCAGACTTCAAGGTCGCCATTTATTATGGAGACGCGAGCGGCGCGACGTAATATCGTAATTGTCGGAATGCTAGGTTTCGGGGGCGTTCATGCGATGTACCGTCTCCAATGAACAAGCCATTGGTATTACGGTGGAAATGAGAGCTGCAGGTAGATGAGAACAGCGGACACGGTCGCGCAGACATTGGGAGACGTTATGTGGACATAATTTCTCAATTAGTATTATTCATTGTCCAATCCATTCAATTGTCAGGTTTAACATTGAGGGTTGACGCCTAGAAATCCAGGCGAAAGGATACTGTCATGTGATCGGAGCGGGGGATCCTCCGGGAGAGCTTCATCATGTTCTCTTATCCTGTTGCCTGAAACTCCCATGTACTATTTGTTATTTGAAATTTCTTTAATTCTTCAAATTTATTTGGATTTCCATCCTTGCATCTGGAAGATCCAAACTTGAAAAACTTGGAAGTGTTGCCACAGGCAGCAACATATGAATCTCGTGATCTTTTTTTCCCCCGTTTATCTAGCCCCAAAGGCATCATAATTCCAAAACATTTCATATCTTCAACTCTACTCTAGTTTATCCCTTTTTTGGTTTTCTATTCTGTAACGTCCCACCTGTTTGTGGCTCTTATCTACAGGGCTAAAAGTGCATCTTCCCCATGTTGAAGCCCTTCCGAATCAGAAACCTTCGGGTACCTGCTCAGCACGAACCCGAGCAGCCTGCTGATCCTCGTACTGCTTCGGGGGTGGTCCAGATCTCTGCTACGGATTACGATGATTTAGCGTCAAACCATCCCCGTGCAAGGTTGACTTATCTGGATGACGATGATGATGATGAAACAATCACCGTAAGTTCACAACAGTCTGCTAAATATCATCCCGAGATCAAAATCTTACCCTTTCCCTTAGGTTGGATCCGCTTTCGAGCTCTCTCAGCGCCTTGAGGAGCCCCTAGACATTAATACACAGCTTGAAGCCGTCAGGCTTTCTCGCAATGACATCATTCCGATGCACATATTTGATATTCGTCGATCAAACTCCGTGACCGAGTTGTGGAAGCGGTTTGAAAACAGCGTTCCAAAACAAGGCTCGGCTGATGGGAAGAACGACACACAACCTACTTCGAAGGCTATTGTCCTCGAAGAGCAACAGCAGCAAGAAGTGCCAGTTCCTCATACTAGTTCGCCATCTCTCTCTGGGGATCAACCTCGGCCTTTCATGGAAGCATTTGAGGCCGAGCTAGCAGAGATGCTCAATGCTGCCGAGTCCTCGGAGAGTAGAGAGCCTCAGCCTAACTCGCCACCGACTGAGCCATCAGCCAACACAAACTCAGAACGATCCCCTCACCCCGTTGAGATTTTAGCAGCACAGGTTCTAGACCAGCTGATCAACGGCGCTACTATGGTACAATCTGAATTTAGATCAAAAATTCCTGAGCTACAGCGACAACTACATAATGCTCAGAGACAATTTGAGGAAACACAGAAATCTCTGCCTAAGAACGTGGAATCGTCACTACGGGCACTACTTGCCACTGTTGAAGCTCACCTAAGAACCGCTTTTAACAATCTTCCGGATGGCGGAAGGCAAATGGCAGAAGATGCCTTCCAGGCAGGAAGGCCTGTCGCTGAGAATGCCGCTGATGGTTTTCGTACGATGGCCTCCGAACTCAATGAGGTCGGAAGAACATTATTTGCCGCATTTGAAAGCGAGTTTGGGCGCGCTAGATCAACAGCCTCTACGTCCTCGACTTCCGAGGCACCAAACCCTGGGCCACCAGGGCCAGCCTTCAACACTGCTGCAAGCAATGAATCTATGGCTCCGGGCAATGTGTATCCCCAAAGCTCAAACACACATCCTTCAGAAACAGCCACAAACGAGAAATCAACAGCAAGCCCAGGCCAATCGAACCCATCTTATACTGTACAAGCAGGAGTAACCCCCATCCAGAGTCATCATGATCGTCAACCTATACCTGCTCAGCCAGTTCATTGGGCACCTCCCACATGGCCTGCTCCACTTTGGAATCCATTCCACACTTATAACGCACCCCCGCCTCCATGTCCTCCTCTGCCGTCGGTGGCAATGCCAAATTTCACTCACTTCACGCACGGGAGACCTGCGCCTCCGCCTCCGCCTCCTCCTGCATTCAACACCCCATTCTGTGTTAGACAGAACTCACAAGTGAAGCCTAGAGAGTCAAAAAGCAGTTCAGCAACTAGGTCCTTGTTCATTGGAAACGTTGGTTTCAAGGTTACCGACAAGATGATACAGGATGTGTTTGCTGCCAAAGGATTCCTTGTCAAGGTGGATCTCCCACTAGATACTGCATCAGGAAGGCATGCAGGCTTTGGCTACGTTAATTTCCCCTCGGAGTATCCGGCTTTCGCTGCAATGGAAGCATTGCAAGGTGCTGTTATCGACGGCCACTCAATAAACCTGGAGCCTATGCATCATCCCCCTATCGAAAGTGTACGTCCGGCTAAGGTTTCACCCAACGTCGGTACAACCGCACATGATACCCAGTCAAAAAGCCCTCAGGCTGATATGAGCGGTGTAAACAATTCTCCCTCCGAACGAAACAGTACCACATTGGGAGCCTTTGTGCCCTCACTTGCCGCGAAGCCACAAAAGCGCTTATCCCAGCCCAGTAGCTCGGAAAATCGCAGAAAGTCCGTTAGTTTCGTGGACCTCACGCAAAATGATTCTAGTCAAGCCCAGGCAGAATCATCTGCACTACTTGACTCTCCCAGTGATGACCCTGCATTCAGCGCACGTTTTCCCTCGCTTTTACCCGAGACGAGCGCACAGCATAACGATCCATTGAGCGGTCAGGGTGTTTCGAACACGGAGTCTCATTTCCCACCCGTGTCTCAATGGGAGGCTCAGCTTCTTGCAAATCGGCAGGAACGCCGTGGAACAGAACCTATAACTGGAGCTTTGCATATTCAATCGCCAAACAACCCAAAACACGGCGAGGAACTCTCCACTCCCATTTTACCCAGCCATCCTACCCCAAAAGGGTTTGGACAATCTGCTTCCGGTGCCAGCGAGGCTGTGCGCCCAGTGAGAGGCCTCAATGCCCCCCAACATGCGGCCAAACCGAAGCGCCGAGCCACTGAACACAAAACTCATAAACCAAATCATCACCATACTGCGGAGACTAGCCGTCATAACTCCCTCAAGCATTCCGCAAGTATGCGTCGTCTTGGGGATAGATCGCAAGGTTCTGCGGAAATGGACACGTGGGCGCGTCTGTCTAGGCGAGAACGAAATGGCGCATCTTCTCACGAACAAATTCCTGGAAGCTTCCCGGTGGAAGATACAACGAGAGTCGATCTCTCTAGGACACTTGATGCCAGTGTTCCTGGATCTAATGATGAGGCAATCGAACGATGTGTTTCTTCTCTTATCGACATGGGCTACGGGGCTGGACAGGAGGGCGGACGGTCGAGGATGGCTGTGTATGCAGCTATGGTAGATGGCGTCCTCATGGATGCGATTGATATGATTGAAGAGGAAAGGCAGATTTATGAACGACGGCCTTCGCAGTAAGGCATGGAATATTTTCTTGCTCTCTTTTTTTGGACCAGGGTCGTATAACGGCCTAGTCATTCCTTTAGCTGCAGTTTGGCTTGACTGAAACTCTTCTGGTATTATTTTAATCTTGATAGTCGTTGAATTCCCACTTTGCTTTAATGGCTTGCTGAGGATGTTTCGAGACCTCAATCATATATGTATCCGCCTTTTGAGTAGTGTTTCTTCTGTTATTTTTCGTTAATATTCTTATTGTATATGTCGGGCTATCTTCGAGTGTATAAATTGGTAGGGCTGGTCCGTTATATATAAACCCTTAGGACTTGGGAACATAGCAACAAGATTGTAGTGTACAATATAACTATATATCTGAACATGAATACATTTCTTTCGAAATAACACTGCTGCCAACTTTTAGCACTATAAACCGAGACAATGGTAATAACAGTAGTATTGGAATACTGCCCAGATGAGAATGCTAATCGGACCGACATCAACGCCGATAAGTTTCCTGGCCGCAATCTCCGAACTCCCCGATCATCAACCTACAGCACCTTCAGCAATGCAGATATGGCGGCGGACCTTCGCCACGTCTGTGGGCAGACTTACCCATAGCTCAATTAATTCCCGTCCCGCTATTGTGCGATGCGCCCAGATCCTCCAAGCCAGCAAGAATGGTGGAGTCTCCAACTTTGAGGACCAGGAAATCAAAGTGAACGGGTTCATTCGGTCTGTACGGAAACAGAAACGCTTCGCGTTCGCAGAAATAACCGATGGCTCAACTGTGGAACCGGTACAGGCATTTCTGAAACCCGCGCAAGCAGCAGAGTACGTTTGACCGCGCGCGAGCTGTGATCATCGACCTGTTTGTTAACGGAGACTAACTTGAGCGCCTTTTCTCTAGTCTGTCAACTGGAACTGCGGTCGAGATATCGGGCATATGGAAAGCTTGCCCACCGGGCAAAGAGCAAACTCATGAGCTCCAAACAACCGACGTTAAGATCGTTGGCGCATCGGACCCAGAGGTGAGCCCGAGAGCTTACTCCAACTGTCGCAAGACCTCACACTAACCATGATATTTATGGCTGCAGACGTTTCCGATTCAGAAGAAGTACCACAGTCCCGAATTTCTGCGCCAGATTCCCCACCTCCGCATTCGAACACCCTTCAATTCTCTCCTGTCGCGTTTCCGATCCGAGTGCATGTTCCAACTTGGCAATGTCTTCCACTCTCATCCGAACGGAGCTTTTACACAAGTTCAGCCTCCACTTATAACATCCTCGGATTGTGAAGGCGCAGGTGAAACATTCACATTGGCACCACGCGGTGCCGCTACAGCCAGCACCGAGAACGAGCATTTCTTCCGATCGCCAAAATACCTTACTGTATCGTCCCAGCTTCATCTTGAAGCTTATGCGGCGGAACTGGGCAACGTCTGGACATTGACCCCCGTGTTTCGGGCGGAGAAGAGCGATACACCGCGCCACCTCAGCGAGTTCTACATGCTCGAAGCCGAGGTCAATTTTATGTCCGACCTTGATTCGCTTACTGGCCTAGTGGAACATCTGCTACGCGATCTGACGCGTCGTCTATACACTACTCCTGTGGGTCAAGAGATCTTGTCGGCAAAGCGGTCTGGCGAGCCAGGGCAGGAAACTAGCGCGGAGGAGACAGGATCTCTACGGCAAAGATGGACCGATCTAATGGATGGGCCAAAATGGCACCGGGTTACATACACCCAAGCAGTGGAGATGCTCCAGCGTGCTGTCGCCGAAGACGGAGCATCCTTTGAGCATCCCCCGACATGGAATGGAGGTCTACAACTTGAGCATGAAAAGTATATCGTCGAGGTGCTCCATAAAGGGCGTCCTGTCTTTGTAACGGACTATCCGAAATCCGTCAAGCCGTTTTACATGGCCCCTTCGCAGGTCGCAGATGACAGCAACACTCCCGGGGAGACAGTGGCATGTTTCGACCTACTTCTCCCCGAAGTCAGTGAAGTCGCCGGGGGTTCCCTGCGTGAGCATCGCCTGCCCAATCTCATCCAGAGCATGCGTGCGCACGGTCTGATCAAGCCCCGGCAAATTCCCGAGTCTGGTGATGCAGCTCCAGTCGAGTCGCTGTATCCTCACCTCACTCCCGACGAGGACTTGAGCCATCTCCAATGGTATGCAGACCTCCGACGCTGGGGCTCTGCTCCTCATGGTGGCTTTGGGCTCGGATTCGATCGATTCCTGGGATATTTGACTGGTGTCTCCAGCGTTCGGGATATCGTATCCTTCCCACGATACTTCGGTCGCGCTGATTGCTGAGACTTCTCAGAGGTATCAGCTGGCCAGTGTATGATAGATTTGTAATATAATATGCATGAAAACTAAATAGATATAAATTTGGAAACTCTCAACCTAAAGCGACATGAGCTAATTCACCGTGTAACCCGTGGAGTCATAACGGGGACAATATACAAAGTACGAAGTATTCCTCATCAGCCGCGGAGGTATATAGGTGAATCCTCCAGCAATAATACTGATATAATCCCGAATAGGACAAAGACAGGGGGGGTTTATCCGCTGACTTCCGCATAACGGAGCCTCCGTCGCACTTTATAACCCAATTCGACTAGTGAGAAATACAAGTCTCTTACCCGAAGCTAAAAAAGAGGGCTTGCAGGTGCTCGGCTCAGCTTACTTTTGTATATTGCTCTCCTTTTAATATCAAACAATTTTCAAAGTCAACTTGATAAAAGCGTATACACAGACCTCTTAATTGCTATTTCAATATCGATAAAACAAAGCGAAATAAGGAGAAGAAAACTAAATTTCTTATCTGTGCGGAGTACTCCGTACTCTGTAGATCATTAGAATATAAGAACTAGGGGGGAGAGGCTATATGTAGGCTGATTGATCTACACACCTTTATATGTCCATCATTGATTTCCCCGTTTGTTTGCCGAGATTCTAATTTTAAATTGTAACAGAGCTTAATGTAAATGGGCATTCGGGCGAGAAGAATGACTAAATTATAGTTACATTCAATATGAAAACCTTCTTTTTTTTTTTTTTTTTTTTTTGGATCTGGCCCCTGCTCCAAGACTCAGCCAAGTGATCATCCTAGACAACCAGCCGAAGAAGCCAGAACAAAGCGTAACGCTAAAAAAGAATGCTACGTAACGGGAGAAAATATAATATGCAAGTCTTGCTCATACCGGAGACAGGAAATCATTATGTGATATCAAACAACTGAACACAGGGAGATCTACGTATGCATACTCCATACCTTGATTTGTATACAGGGCTGAAGTAGAGTGCAAGACATTCAAAGTTAACAAGCACGGACGAAAAAAAAAATGGATTCTGGAGTTTAAAATTTTCAAGGAATAAAATTAAGGCACAGATCTTGCTGCATTAGCATAGCGCCAGGTGTAGACGATCGTTTCACGATAAAAGTAGCTCGACGGAGTAGACCGGACGTTTTTGTACATGCACGGGGTAGCATATTGTACTCCGTATACCTCGTATACACAGATCTTATTCCTGATTTATGCACCGGAGTTCCGGACCCCAAGCAAAGCCAAGCACTGTAGTCTGGAAATGAGGCGTCCCACCAAATGTAAAAAATTGGGGCGGGTGGCACTAGTTTTTAGGATAATACGGAGGAGGTAACTCCGTTGATGATAAAAGGTACACATCAGTACCCTAATTAGGAAACAGGATAGATGTGGTTCAACAAGGAAATTCAGCCTCGGCGTACTTATAAAACGTGGACCGAGGAAGTTTTTGGAGTAATTGGAGTATTCTCAGTTACTGTTTCGGATCTCGCTTATTTTTTTTGATGCCGAGCATTCCGGTTTCAGAGTTTGGATTTATAGATTTGTATTGCCACATGTGATTATTACTGTGGCGAGAGGCAATTATATAGTTTGAAAAAGGAAAGTACATCAGATTAGAATTGTGAAAGATAATTACAGCCTCATAAAGAAGTGTGCCTCGAATTGATATATTTTTACTTTGACAAAGCGAACATACCAATAAGGGGGCTAGGATCAGCAGGCAAGGGGCCCCAACCTTACCAGGGTTAAGCATAAGCAAAAAGAAGTTTGGGCAGTGCGCGCCTTGTCCTCCATACGAGTCATGCAGTGGCACATCCCTGCCTGACGTATCACATTGCAAATAGCGAGATCGAAGATGTGATTTGCGGTAGGAATATCAAATTATTTTTAGTATGCAGTACGGAGTAATAATAATTTTAGGATTATGTTAAGGTTACACTCCAAGGCTAAGACAATATTTCAAGTCTTCGTATTCGGCTTCAGAAACTCCCCGAAAAAAATTATGCCACATGGATTTATGTCCATGTAAGGGGTCAAAGCAGATTTAGAACCTTGGAAATGTCTAGGTAAAGTTAAGTAAAGTTAAGTAAATTAAAGGTACGGAGTTAACGTTAACCATAAATTTGAAGCCACAGTTTCCATGGTTCACAAGAAGAATATTGGATTTTAGGCTTCGATGACATTTTGCTCAGACCATGGGTCTAGCCACTAATGTTGTCCTTGGCAGTCATAACTCTTGGCTACTTGGGATACTTTCTTGTCATTTTGGTAGGCAACAGTGTTGCACTGCCTTTTCTTAGAGGATGTGATGGATATGGTAATAGTAAAGTCAATATTACAAACATTGGACCATAATAAAATGAAACCCTTTGACCCTCATGCAATGAAACACCAAAATACAAAATACTATAAAAAAAAAAAAGAAATGAAAAAAAAAAAGTAATTCCACTTAACCATTCCAGCACATTCCCTATTCATCTAGACAATGGATACCTTAATTATGCTAGTGGAGATAAGCTCGTGTGACGTTTCACAAAATTGTTTCTTGGCAACCTTTAATTCCAGGGTTGCAACGAAAATCCATTACAATACAAGAATCGCACGTCATTTTCCATTCTTTTTTTGGTTGGTGTTAGTTGCCTTAATATGAGATCGTCTCTGACTGGAGGAATCTTGCTCCTCAAATACC